AACAGTTAAAATTGTAATTTATAGTAGCAATTAGAAAAACTAAATGAATTGTAATCCAGAATTATTTGGTTGCCCATATTGTTATTTACATCTTTAAAGGTTTTTCAATTTCTAAATTTTTAATATTTGGCATATATTATTGTAATCATGAGAAGAAATGTAATTAATGTAAAAAAGCTGGGCTTAAAGAGCAGAAAATAAATCTAAAGAAATAATCATCTGACTTTTTCATTTCATTTTCTCCCTATATAGGGTAGAAAATCCCAACAGCTTTAGTATGCCACTTGACTAAGGGAAATTTGAGAGTAAAGGAGTTGCACTGATGTTTTTCATCCTAAACATCTAATAGAAATCAAACTTTGGAAATGGAGATACCTCTTGCTTCACTTCTGGTTGGGGCTTAGAAATAATAGCAGTAGCAGCAGCTAGAAACCCCATGCTGAGCACATTGGGCAACTGGGAGTTGGGGGTATTGACTTGACCTTTGGACTTGACTGATCCAAATGCCAAATTCTAATTTAAAAACGAAAAACTGGAAGTCTGAGGGATGGTGTAATTTGGTGAAGCAAACAATACACTCCCAGGTTAAAAATTCCAGCGTAGGCTCTTCTGCTGTGTTCCTGAGTTAACCTTTTGTGTGGTTGTTTCCTAATGTATTTTATGACTTACAAAGCCAGAAGATCAAAGCAATGGTCTAGAAATACACACCAAACTCACTTTCGTAAATTCCTGCACAATTTACCAGGTTGCTGGAACAGCTTTTCTCACTGATTTGATCTAACATTGACCTGCCTCATAGGATCATGAGTTGAAAAACAACTCTAAAACTATTCCACAAAAGGAAAAATGGTATTTTTCTAAACAAATCTTAACAAAACCAAAATACTAAAGTTTCTGTATTTATGTTTATTTATAAAATTTGCCTACCTTCCAAACGTGTCCCCAAAAAACCCACCAAAGAATGATGCAATCATTCCACCAATTGCAAAGCTGGACACTGACAGAGACCAGAGCATGGTGATTAGGCCAGCAGATGCCATAATCTCTTCCCCAACCTGAGGGGTCGGTGTTGGGCTCATTGGGTATGGGGTTGTGGGCAGTTCATCTGTATTGTTGATAGCATAGTTGTTGATAGCCTTTCGGTCATCCAGTGGAACACCCAAAACATGTCTATAATGGGATATTATTATCTGAGGAAATAAAATAAACAAAAGTAGCTCCAATATTTAAAACATTCTATATATTTTTGTTTGTTGTTCTTATAAAATGTTAGGTGTTTAAATAGAACCATTATGTGCATATACACATGCAAACATGGATAGATTTATTTACAGTTGACCATATCCTATAAAACAGAGGTCACAATTCCATTGTCAACAGGAACCAGGCAGGAACAAATAAGTGAAAGGGGCATGGAGAACCTTGATGACTAGAGGAGTGGTCTACATGGGGAATGGTCAGGATGGTGAAACTGGAGAACGTTTGTCCCACCTAAAGGGGGAAGCTGCAAATGAGAGACTTGGAAGAACTTAATTTTTTTAATAGAAACCAGAAATCTGGGTTTTTAGGTAAAAATTTTCAAGTTTTAAATGTTGGCAACTGTTCAAATTGAAAATATTCTCGAGGTTAAAAAGACACATTTTCACACCAGTGTTACTTCTGCACAGCAAGATTTAAATTGACTTACATAAATATTTTAATAGAAACATAAAAGTGGATATAAGAAAAAAGATTGGAAAGATAAGATGAGGGTCAAAAATAAAGTTAGTACACAAAATTCAAACACTAGGTGTTGTATCCTTGCTAGGAACAAGCTATAAATTTAGCAATAAACTTCCTAGCAGCCAGTACAAAGAAAGGAAAACAGGTATATGACTGATGAACTCCAAAGATAAAACTCAGTAACCCCTGAGGAGGCATTGAGACCTGAAGGAAGTTTCTCCTACGGGTCCTTATGGAGTTCAACGTGTAACAGAATGAACAACATTCAAAACTAAATTTCACAGAGCCACATTTTATAATGTGCTTCAGCAGAGGCAAATGTCACACCACAGCATAATCCAATAAAAACACATCCTTCAGGCTCTCTTCCTCCCATGTCACTCCTCTCAATGATGACTTGATCACTATTCAGTGGCAGTGAGCTGGGGGAGGGGGGGTCCTCTCTGGCAAGGACCTGGGATGCAGCTACTCTCTAGTTACTAGTTCTGGCAAAGTCCTATTCTGTAAGGTCAGCTGAGTGAGGTGGAGAATTGAACATGCTCTTATCATAAAAGAAATGTGATCTAGACATGTGTCTCATTAGAAGGCCCTATTTAGATGATATGCAGAGAAAAAAGCCTGGAAGGAAATACTCGAAATGTTCTCAGCAGCTTGCTTGATGTGGTAGAATAATTATGGGTAATTTTTTCTAATACTGCAATAGGCATGTGTAATTTTTATAACCATAAGAAAGTGTAATCTGAAAATACTTAATAATTTTAAATGTCATTCACCGAATTAAAAAAAAATGGGACTGAATGATCATTCTTATTTAATGGTGTTTAAGCAGCTCTTTAAACACAGGAGGAAGAGGGTATAGAGAGGGCACTAACCTGGTTGCCACTGGGAAGACCTTTGTTTTCAGCTCTGGCTCTGGGACTTGGATTGGAGGAGGGGAGACCTGATCCTATTTTTCCATGTAAGACTGGAAAGATGGTTTAAATAAGGATGTGAGAAGGTCTTCCACAAAAAGAAAAGGGGCTCTGTGTATTCCAAGTCATGATGATGCTGAACCAAATTCCAGGGGGCCTGCTGAATTGGTATGTGTTGTCATCACCGACACAAAAAAGCTATGGCCCTGGTCTCCTGACCACTGCGTTTTCCCTTGGATAAGCCACGGGAAGGCCTGCCACACTCATGGTGGTGTGTGGTACCTAAGCAGAGCACATCTTTTGGCCCAAGCAGCAGCCTTTTTCAGGTGATGGGTTGTGACCAGCCCAATTTCACACATTCACACACTGCAGTAGCTTACATTTTCCGTGGAGTCCAATGTTGTTAAAAAAAAAAAAATGACAGAGGAAATAAGATGGGTTTATAGAAGGCACCCAACAAATGTTCGTATCTTCACTTTATGCCACCCTTCCCCAGGTTCTCTCTCTCTCCCTCATTCTCTAAACACCTTATTGAGTACTTTCTTTATGCCAACTATTGTGCTCGGCACTGGTTTTAGGAAGAGGAGCAAGACACGTTCGTATCTTCACTTTATGCCACCCTTCCCCAGGTTCTCTCTCTCTCCCTCATTCTCTAAACACCTTACTGAGTACTTTCTTTATGCCAACTATTGTGCTCGGCACTGGTTTTAGGAAGAGGAGCAAGACATCAAACCCACCCTCAACAACCTCACAATCTGAGTTAGAGAGAGGGGAATGACGTCCCTGTTTCCCACTTACAGGCTGTGGGAGCTGAGAAGAACGACATCCTTCTCCTGTGTAGTCACTGGAGAACAGAGTAGGGATGTGCAGAATAAATGAAAAAAAACTGTTGAAATTATTCAATATTTTAAAAAAATATCCACCAAAATAGTTATCATGGAGAAAGTCCAAACTGTTGGACTCCTTGACTGTTATTCTAAAGTTTTGTATTGTTTTACTTTGGATCACCTAAGGGAGACAGAAATGAGGGGGAGGGGGACTATAATCTTTTTAGTTCAGGGTTCCTAAAGGTTTTATTCTTTCCTGGAAAAGGCATAATAATGTTGTTGAGAAGATCTAACTGGGGAGAGCTCATGTTAAACAGTACCTGATGCAAATAAGTAGGTGCTCAATAAATGTGCACTGAATGAGATATATTTTTCTGTTGTTTCCTCTTATTCCCTGGCATTTTTCATTTTTGTATGGTTGAGCGCTCTGACTGAATGCTGCACTAAGCTCTTTTTTTTTTTAAACCATCCTTGGGCACGTGGCATTCTGGCTGGAGTTTTTTCAGCAAACCTCAGAGTCAGAGATCAGAAATTATTTATTGCCTCCTTCTTTTCCTGTGAAGGTTGTTAACTGAGGAGTCAAGTCCAAGTTATCAGCTTTGGAACCACGTGTATTGTACCTGACAGTCCAGGTTCACCCATGTGGACACACTTTATCTCTGTGTATGAAGAGCACATGATATTTCTCACTGACAAAACTTGCCCAAAAGTGAGCTTGTGCATGTTTCACTTGCCTGTTGAGGTGCATTGATCACACCAATGTCATATCCAAACTGGAAGGAACCCAGTGCAGCAGTGAAGACAGTGAAAACCAAGGTCCCAGTGATCTGTGGGGGATGAAACACAGGGCTTGGAAACACCAGGCAATTTCAGTTCCCTGTCATCCTATCAGGTTGCAGCTTGGACTTCTTACAGGCTCCACATGCCCATTCTTTCCTCTTGATATCCATACACAGTATGCCCTGTGCTTCTGGCAGGCAGGTGATGTTTATACCAGAAAATGAGAGGCCTCCATCATTTCCCCTACACTTTAAAACTGAAAAAGTGTGGAACAAGAGGCCAGAAAATGAGAGGCCTCCATCATTTCCCCTACACTTTAAAACTGAAAAAGTGTGGAACAACTTCTTCCAGGGGAGAATACAAACATCCATCCATCTATCTATCTATCTATACACACACACATGAGTATATACATACACACATATACACACAAGCATGTGTGTATTATATCATTGGGAGAAGTCAAATAAGACCCCAGTTACAAAGAGATGGGAAGCGCACCTGGATGTTGTCATGGCACAAAAACACCTTAGTACTCATACAAGAGGCATCAGCCAGCCTTTATTATGATCTTCATCAACATCCGGGTAAGGATATTTTTCAGGATTTGCACCTAGTTGAACCTAGAGTTATAGGTTAGTGAATATTATTTTCTCTCCAACTCCATATAACTACAATAAACCTGTGAAGAAAGGGGCAGAGCATTCATCCCCTTCAACTCATAATTACATGTCTAACCATCTTAGCAAACTCATATGCATGTAGAATCCCATATAAGGATATTTAGTGCATTTTTTGTTTGCATGATAGCAAATATTATAGAATGAATTTACATGTCATTTGATGGGAAACGGCCAAACAGACTCAGATACATCATAATATATACATTAGCTACATACAACATGTATGCAGCAGTTAAAAAGAATAATGTGATTATATGTATTGAGTTATTTTTAAATGGTAAAGGAAATTGCATAATCTCATTAATATTTTTAAATACTTAAACATGAATATTCTTTGATTTGTGCATGTTGTATATAACTCAAAGAATTACATACGAAAAAGAACAAGTAAGGTGACAACCTTTGAGGAAGAGTGTGAGGTTGGAGAGGAGTGAAGGAATATTTTTTCTTTTATTGACATTATTAGACATTTTATAATGAAAATATTTTCATGAATAATTACATAATATAAGATTTAAAAATGAAAAGCATGGGACATAGTAGGTGCTTTGTTGAACGAATGAATGAATCATGTCAACATGGATTCCAGTTCCCACTCTTAGTGGATATGTGACCTAAGCCATTTCCTTTATAGGAGCTTCGCTTTTTCTCTAAATTATGGGATGATTGTAAATCCCCCTACTCCAGCACGAAGAATAGCTCATTAACCAGGACCCTTCATTCCGCAGAAAAGCTAGAGATCAGAAATTTCACAGTGTCATAATCGATAAATTATTATTATAGAACCACCCTGAAAGTCCTTGAAGTTATTTAGTCTAGCAGTTCTGAACCGAGACCCTACGAGGGGTCTTCAAACAGTTCATGGAAAGATTCATATTATCTTTTAATTACATTTTTCCACAAACTTCTGGAAGTACCCTTGTACTTGGAGAGCTCATTATACATGTAGCTTGCGGGGGCTCACTTTAGACCTACTACTGGATTGGAATCTTTGGGGTGGAAGTTGGGAATCTGTAGGTTTACAAAGCTTCCCTCTTTCCATTAATATAGCAGGCACCTACGCAAACTTTCCCTCCTAGCAACTTCCTTCCCTGAAAGAAAGAACTTCAAAGCCAACTGAAAAGATGTACTCCGATGGTATATAATAGGGGTCTTCAAAAAGTTTATAGAAAGATTTGTATTATCTTTTAATTCTATTTTCCCATGAACTTTTTGAAGTACCCTCTTATATTGCCCCAAAGAAGCATATATATATATACACACATAAAAATATATATTATATATTTATTAGAGATAAATCATATATAAATTTATTATATAAAACTACATATATTTATTATATATAAATTTATATATATATAAATTATACCACTATGTGGTATATGGCGTATAGGATTATGACAGATTTTGAATTATTCTCTAAAAGGTAACTAGCCATCTAAAACTTAGTGGCTCATATAGCCAAAGCTAGGATGGGGTTCCATATACCTAGTAAATGGCATAAAATCTTCAAGCCTTTTAACTTCTACACAGGCTACAAACTATTAAGCTTGCACTTTTAAAAAACTACCTTCATTTAGAGTTCAATCATTTTAAATTAGAGAAACTATACTCCATATCCAATTCAAAATATGCTGCTGGGTAAATGCAGAAGGGTAGAATAAACAAATGGGTGAACTTTAACATAAAACAAAATGTGGTGTTTATATTGTGACTTAGAAGTCATTTAAGGTCTATTAGAAAAAACAAGTAGATGTGGGAGTCAGAAAACCTAGAAAAGAGTCCCAGCTATACCCCTAACATCCTTGAGCCTCAGTTTCTTTGCCTATAAAATGAGTATAAAAATAGTCAATGCATAGGATTACTGTGAAAACTAAAGATAAATAACTAAAAAACTTCCTATGAACAGTGAAAGGGCTATAGAACAAATACATCCCTAATCACATCATTATCTTCTCATTCATTACTTTTGCCAAACAACTATGTGTAAACTTTTCATACATCACCAGCAATCTTCACAATACTACTACAAAGTACATAAAATCCCCACTTTACAGGTGAGGAAACCAGGGCTCAGAGAGGATTAAGGAGCATGCCTAACACCACACAGATGGTAAGTGACAGATACTCTAGTATGGGAACCCAGAGCTAATGTTCTTAACCCCCCACTGCTAAACAAAAGAGCAGATTCTGCAGCAACTACTGATGGACTAGGTAGGAAGAAGCTTATATCCTTTCCTCTTTTCTTTTGCATGCCTACAAAAGCCAAACCAAAGATGATTTTGTACCCAACTTTGAAAAAGGCCAGGGGCCTCTTGAGCCACAGAATTTTCAAGTTGAAAGAGACCTTAGAAAACAATAGATTCTTGTCTAATTCCTCCATTGTTTTGTTGAAGAAACTGAGGTCCTATAGGTCAATTCCTTTGTTTGAGTTTTATGCACATTATGGGCATATCTGGAGAGATAACTCAGGTCTCCAGACGGTCAGTCCTGTGCTTATCTTACTTCTTTCAAAGTCTGGGTAGATTGACAGAACTGAAAACCACTGCACTTTAAATCAGTGCTCATTTTTTCTGGGTTCCAGTATTAGTCAATTCCTTGGTTCTCAAGAAAAGTTCGGCAACATAATTTCTAAGGCTCCTAAGGGAATTTAATGATAGTTCTAAGTAAAGCTTGAGCATCTGCTACACGTCAGGCACTGTGTTAAGCACATTACTTTCTCTTTTGCAGTATCTTCCAAACTTTAGTTATTTGAATATAGTACTACCTTAATGATTTATACCAAATCTACATACCATCTGTATAGTTATTAACAATATTTGCCTTTAAATTGTCTTTAAAGTTCTAAGTACTTTCACTTTATCCTGGTCTATAACATCTGTAAAATCATGACATGCTAGTTATTCTTTGAATATACATTATATAAATGCATAACTATTAACATTAAAATGTTTGCCATATAATCCTCTCTAATATTATTTAATTATCCCCAGCCCTAAAGTACTAGTATAATCCCTGAATATCCCATATTATATCCTCATTTTATATCCCAATATGTTCTAATTTTCTAATAATAGAGAAAACCTAAAGCTAGGATAAATAACTTAACCCAGGTCTCACAGCAGGTAAGTAGCATTGCTAGAACCCAAGCCTGGCTGAGTCCAGAGCCAATGCCCCCCTAACCATGCCATTAATGACATGAAGGAATGTTCAGCAGAGTAAATTTTACCAGGGTCCTAATTTTAAAGGTCCTACTCTAACAGGGGCACAGATTGATCAACTTGTATTACTGTGTACAGGGTGGGTGAGTTTTGTTGGGGAAAACTTATAAGGGAACAAGAGCACTAAACCCTTTTTATGTTTAAGTTTTTATTTTGAAAAGTACATCTAAAGAGAAGTTGAGTGGTTAACATTCGCCACATTTGTCTAACTCTCACTGTGTATGTACGTATGTGTTGTTTTGGCTGCACCACTTAAAAATAAGCTGCAGATATTGGTGTCACTTCACTCCTAAATACTTCAGCATGTCCTCATTAATAACAATGACAATCTCCATGATCACATCCAAGAATGTAACATGGATACACTGATATTATCTAAGATACAGCCCATATTGTCCCTTAAAGCTGTTTTTGTCTTGCCCCTGTAACCTAAGACCACTTTTGTCAGTTCTTAGCCTCTTTTAATCTAGAATAGCCCTCCCATCTTCTCTGTTTTTCCTACGTTGACATTTTTGAAGATTCCAGATCAATTTTCATGATTAGATTCAGGTTAATCTGACTTTTGGGGTTTTTTTGGCAGGGGAAATCTTCAGTAATATGATTATGCAGAATCGCGTGAAAAAAGTTATGCAGACTACTCAGAAAACAGATCAAATATCCTTAATTTAGTTACTGAATAAGAAACAGGTTTCTTTGTTTTTCTTTAGCAGCCAAATGGACTATCAATTGGCTAAGTAACAAGAAGTACTTTTGATCCGTGGTAGCTACATCCCATATCCCCCAAATCCTTTCTATATATTCACTTATGTGAATGGATTTCCCTATCCATTTCCTCAAAGCCAGATTCAAAATGAACAAAATGCTGCTTTACCTTATCTTTTGTCATTTTATGGGTTGGGAGTCCTCCTCTTAATTCCAGCTCCTGTATCGAGTGTGGCACATGCAGCTGACAAGCCCCTGCCTGTGTCCACAGCTCTGCCTAAGCCTAGTTATACATTGCAGGAGGAGGAGCAAGGTGAGGAAGGAGCGGGGCTACCTTGACCTCAGAGTCGAAGTCTAACATTAGCACTGGCTGACTATTGATGAGAATCTCATCAATAAGTGCTTTGCCTCAGTGACCTGTGGCTTCAATGCTTTTGTTCCACCAGGAAAGAAAATGGGAGCAGGTCCCTTAGGCGTAAGTTACAAACCAGAGGCAGTCACATTTCAAGCCATGTATTAAGTATGGCAGTAACCGGGCACAGACAAAAAGATAAATCTTTGGAGTCTTTTGTAGAAGATGAGATATGTGGGCTGCTGTGCCCTGTTGCGGGGAGAGCAAAGACAAGGGCACAGGAGGCACACTGAACTCTGCTCCCCTGAGAACCAGAACTGTGGTGTTTGTGCTTTAGAGCTGGGCAGCGGGGCCATAGGCCCTGGAAGACTTCAAAGGTTACCCGATTGAGCTTTGAAGAGTTATGGACGTGGGTTTGAATCTCAACATTTTACAGAGGGTGTGACCTTAAGCAAGTGGCTCACTGTGACTTTTCTGTGCCTTAGTTTATTTTTATTTGAAAATTGGAAATAACAAAATATACACTTTGTTTTCTTGGGTGGATTAAATGAGATAATATGTAAAAGTGTTTAGCACAGTCCTGACATGTAAGTGCTCAGTAAATGGTGGTTGTTATTGTTATTGTTATTACTATTATTCTTAGTTCACTGTATGTTAGGAAGCACTTGCTGGAGGTGACAGTGTACAGTTCTCAAACAAATCTGCTCATATTGTTTGAGCTTGTGGCCTTCTTGGTATCCTCTATGATATCCAGTTCCTGTGGGGGTTCAGGAGATATCAAAATTGATTAGTCCTGACATGTAAGTGCTCAGTAAATGGTGGTTGTTATTGTTATTGTTATTTCTATTATTCTTAGTTCACTGTATGTTAGGAAGCACTTGCTGGAGGTGACAGTGTACAGTTCTGAAACAAATCTGCTCATATTGTTTGAGCTTGTGCCCTTCTTGGTATCCTCTATGATATCCAGTTCCTGTGGGGGTTCAGGAGATATCAAAATTGATTGAGCTTTAACTGTGCATGGTGACTAGGGTCACTGGTTCCACTGAGGCTCAACTGGAACCAGTTCCCAGCAGAGAAAATGTAAGAAACAGCAGCAGAACCAGGGGTGCTATGAAGAAACAGAGGGTGAGAAAATAAAGGGGTAGAGGAGACTCATTCCATTTGTCTTTTATTTGCTCATCGCCTTTTCATTTCTATCACCTCTGCAAGGTGACGCATCTGAAATGTTTGGTTTGAGAAGGTAAATAATTCAGTTCAAACCAGAAACTTTTATTGGGCCCAGCACAGTTCCATGCTCTGAGATGATTGAGAAGATAGATAAGACAGCCTCCTCCCATCAGTTTATAATGTATAAGGTGAGACACGCGTAATTGCAATCACGCAATGCAATCATTTTTTAGTGGAAAAGCATAAACAAAAATTAATAGTAACGATTGTTCATCTTTACTGAGTTCTTGCTCGGTGCCAGGTGCTGCTCTCGACACATGACATGGATTAACTCGTTAAATCATAACGTGAGGGGCTCTATGTGGCACAGCCGAGCTTGGGGGACGCTTCGGAACGAGACTAAGGCGCCCGGCGGCCACACCGAGTGCGCACGCCCAGTTGTCAGCGCCCTCTGTAACAGGAGCGGTTTCTCCGCAGTCATTTTCCAGTCACGTGACTACTGTGCGGGACAGCCTCTGTGCCGCTCTCAGACGCGACAGTTGTACCCTCTGCTACTCACCAACCTTTGTCTTTTGAACCTTCCACTTCGGAGCCGGAATTTGCCGCTACTGAGGCGTGGGACCCGTGAGCCTCCGACGTCCACCCACTGTCCTCTCCCATTGGCAGCGCCACCTGCCACTCACCAGGGTGGAGGCGGGACCTGGGGCGCCCTGGCCAGCTTCCTCTGGTTTAGGCCGGGCCTGTCTCGTTCTGCCAGTGCTCGGAGACGACTGATCTCTGCACCGTGTAGGGACGGGCTAAAATGTTATCTCCGGGGTGGGCTGGGGGATTCGGTTACAGTGATTGCATTGATCGATGTGGCCCTCGGAGAACTGGCTGGTGCCGGTTCCGGCCGCGCAGGAGAGCCTGCCGCAGCGGCCACCGAGGAGCTGCGGGTCCTCTCACCCGAGTCTAAGCGTTTTCCGGCTCCGGGATGAGTCAGGCTTTTCGCGCTTTGCTGCTGGGCGGGGGCCGATCGGGGAGGTGGTCCCGGAATCACTCGGAGGTCCCCGCTGGGCGGGAAAGCAGTTCTGTGCGGTGGCTCTCCTGGCTCCACGCTTCAGGCCCTTCAGGGCACATTCGGATCACTTCATCGATTAATTTAATTTTAGTAGATGCCAAGGGTTCCAGGCGGTGACAGGACAGAAAAGATCCCCTGTCCCCTTTTTCATTGTTCTTCCCTCCCGTACAGTGGGAGTCATTTTTCCTATAAACGGGAGGAAAGAGAACCAGCTACCTCGGTGCTCTGCGCCTCTCTCCAGTTGGGCCGAGCGTGGGTGCGTGCAGAGGCGCCTCCTGGGAACCACGTGAAGTGAGTTCAAACTCGGCCAAGCCAGGACTACAGGAGAGTATCTGGAGGTCCCGGCCTCGTTATTTAAGGTTTCTGAGCCAAATGTGTCTGCACTGTGACCTGCCAAAGAGACAGGGCCGCCTCTGCACACCCTCTGCACAGATTTCTCTGGTCCTCTTCCGAGTGTGTCCGCACAGCCTCCTACCCGGCCTCCCTGCTCCATTCTTGCCCTACAGTACCTTCTTGACACAGCAGCCAAGACTGACTTTAGAACGTTAAATCAGAGCATAATACCCCCTGCTTAAAAGTCTCCAAAGTTTTCCAAGTAACCCTTAGAACTAAATCCACATTTTTTACCATGGCAAGGCTAACTTGATCTAAAGGCCTTCTCCCTCCTCCTCAGGACCTAGCCACGCTGGCCTCAAACTTGTCCTATATGTTCCAAGCTCAGCACCTTTGTAGTTGATGAGCTCTGCCGGGAGTGTCTCTCCCCAGATTTGTATGGAGCTGCTCTTTCTCTTCGTTCAAATGATGGCTCAGAGAGGACCCCTACCAGGCTTCTTAAGATACCGTCTACCTGCTCCAGCTCATTCTTGGGCCTGTTACTTTGCTTTATTTTCTTCTTAGCACTTATGCTTGAAATTTTATTTATTTATTATTGTTTGTTGCTTTCCCTACCAAACCTAAGTTCTATCAATGTGGCAACCTTGCCTATATTGTTATGTCCAGTGCCTATAATAGTGCCTGGCAAATAGGAGGCACTCAATAAGTGTTTAATAAATGAAGAAAGTCCAAAAGGATTGCCACATGCTTTCTTGTGAGGGGGACGGAAGTATCTGAGACTGGTATTGGGACATTTATTGATTTAACATTCAATAAATGCAGTATTTGCTAAACATTTGGCTAGGCACCAGTTACAACAGTGAACAAGATGGACAGGGCGTCTGCTCTAGTGGGGCTTACGTTCTATGTATTTTATGTTCTAAAAGGGTGCTGAGGAAGATAACAGGGGCACCCACTTTAGAAAAGGTGCTCAGGCAAATGTTCTCAGTAAAGGTGACTTTTTGGTTGATACCTGAAAAAAGGGCAGGCAGGGTGGAGGGACAAAGTATGTGTAAAGCTTGAGGAAGGGGGGATCTTAGGTTGAAGAACAGGAGAAGTTGGGTTAAAGCAGGGGAGCAAGAGAAAGTGGAAAGATGCTGTTGGGGAGATAGACAGTAGGACCTTGTAGGTCATGTACTGAGTTGGGATTAACTTGAAGGGTAATGGGAAACCACTAGAAGGGATTAAGAATAGAAGTGATATGGCCTAATATATGTTTTAAGATTACTATGCTGTTGAGTGAGGGGTGGATTGGATGGGGGCATCCATGAAAGAAGAGAGGCACAATTTCAAGGTTATTTGCAAAGTTCATGCTTGCTGTTGACCACCAGACCTAATGGTGGTAGCAAGGAAAGAGAAGTAACAAATTCAAGATACATTTTGGAGGGTAAAGCAGAGAGGATTTGCTAATAATTGCTTTTGGGAGAGGAAGGAAAGGCAGAACTCAGGATGACAGTTTTCTTGCTTGTTAAACTGGGATGACTATGACACCATTTAATATTGGTGCTGGATTGTTTAATCATCTGACTAAGCTTATCTCCCAGACATCAGGGAGTGCCATAATAAAATAATCAAAACAGGTACATTTTGTTGCACTTTTAAAAGTTTTTTTGAGGTAATTGTAGATTTACATACAATTCTAAGCAGTAACAGAGAGCCTGTGTGCCCTTTACCCAACCCTTCACCCAATTTCTCCCAATGGTAACATCTTGCAAGACTATATAGTACAGTATCACAATCAGGATATGAACATGAGTATTCAAGATACAGAACATTCCTATCACCACAAGGATCTCTCATGTTGCCCTCATGATCCCTCATGTTTCATAGCCTTTTATAACCATTCCTACTTCCCTCTTACCCTCACTGACTCTTAAACCCTGGAAATCACTCATCTATTCTCCGTTTCTATAATTCTGTCATTTCAAGAATGTCATATAAATAGAATCATATAGTATGTGTATTAGTCAGGGTTCTCCAGAAGTAGAAAACCAATAGTATGTGTGTATATAGGAAGAGGTAGATTTTAAGGAATTGGCTCATATAATTATGGAGGTTTGGTGAGTCCCAAATCTGAGGGGGAGGCTGGCAATCTGGAGATTCAAGAAAGACTTGCAGTTTGAGTGCAAAGGCAGCCTGCTAGAAAACCAGGATAAGCAGATGTCAGATGAAATCCAAAGGCAGTCTGCTGGAGAATTTCCTCTTGCTCAGGGGAGGTCAAACTTTTGTTCTATCAGGCCTTCAACTGATTGGATGAGGCCCACCCACGTTATAAAGGATAATCTGC